TGAAGAACCAGGACAATGTGTCTTGGAACGAGGATGGTTTGTTGACTTTCCAGAAGAGGATTGTAGTTCCTCGAGGTCCTTTGACTGAGGACGTGATGACAGAGGCTCATAAGGGTCAATTCACTGTCCACCCTGGTGCTACAAAGATGTATCAGGACTTGAAGATAAATTTCTGGTGGCCGGGCATGAAGAAAGACATAGCGGTCTATGTGTCCAAGTGTTTGATATGCCAGAAGGTAAAGATAGAACACCAGAAGCTGTCTGGTAAGCTTCAACCTCTTGAGGTACCGCAGTGGAAATGGGAGAGCATTTCCATGGACTTCGTGGTGGGTTTGCCTAAGACTCAGGCTGGTTGTGACTCTATATAGGTCATTGTGGACAGATTTACAAAGTCTGCCCATTTTCTTCCAGTTAAGGTGAGCTTCACTACTGAGCAGTTGGCCAAGCTTTATGTTCGCGAGATCGCGAGGCTTCATGGGGTGCCCGACAGTATCATCAGTCATAGGGACCCGAAGTTCACGTCTCGATTCTGGGAGGCGCTGCAGGGAGGTTTTGGTACTCAAGTGAGATTGAGTACAGCCTATCACCCTCAGACTGAGCGGAACTGAACGGACAATCCAGACATTGAAGGACATGTTGACGGCTTGCACTTTGGAGCAGGGTTTAGCATGGGATAGGTACCTGCCTTTGGTTGAATTTTCTTACAACAACAGTTTTCATGCTAGCCTGGGCATGGCACGCTACGAGGCGCTGTATGGTAGGAGGTGTAGAACTCCTACCTGTTGGTCTGAGGTTGGAGATCGCGAGTTATTTGGCTTGGACTTTATCCAAGATACCACCCAGTAGATCCAGATAATCAGAGACAAGCTGAAGCAGGCGCAGAATCGCCAGAAGAGTTTCTACGATGTCAAGCATCGTCCACTGGAGTTCAGTGAGGGTGAGCACGTGTTTGTAAGACTATCACCTGTCACCGGTGTTGGTCGGGCACTCGGAGTGAGGAAGTTTAGCCCGCGATTCATTAGGCCATACTAGATCCTTGGTAGAGTAGGACCTGTTGCCTACCGGCTTGCCTTGCCTCCGAACTTGGTCAACATCCACGACGTGTTTCACGTGTCTTAGCTTCGGAAGTATGTAGCGGATCGTTCGCATGTGGTGCAACCTGATGATGTGGAAGTTCGAGAGAACTTAAAGACTCCCGTCGGACCACTCAAAATTCTCGATCATGGCGAGAAAAAGCTTAGGAGCAAGATCATACCGATGGTCAAAGTGCAGTGGACAAGATGAACTCCTGAGGAGTGTACTTGGAAGCGAGAGGACGAGCTTCTCCGGCAGTACCCCGAGTTTCGGGACAGGTATGTTTCTGATTTTGAGGACAAAATCCTAAAAAGGTGGGGTGAATGTAAGAACCCGCACCGTTAAATTAGGAATTTAATTAATTAATTATGAGATTAATGAGATAATTCCATAATTGACCCTAATAATTATGAGAAAGCTTAAATAATTATGGTAAGCGATTAATAATGTTGAAAGTCGTTTTTCTGACGAAAAGTGCAGATATCGGTTCTGCCTCACGGTATAAATGCGTACCGTTGAAGTATCCCGGAAAATTATGAAAAATGTATATATATTACTAGAATAATATATAGGACTAGCATAACAAGTTTCAAGTCAAAATAATGAGATTTGGTGTCAGAACTGATACTGGCTAAGTAAAAGCGCGTACCGGCAAAGTGCTGCGAAAAATAAAATAAAAATATGAAAAATCTTAGAAAAATGGCTAGGTTCAGAATCCAAAGTTTGGGATTAAAATGCTAAGCGTAGCTATTAGCGCTAATAGAGTGCGATTAAAACTTAAGTGGGTTATTTAAAGGTTTGGCACATGATCCTAGGTCATTTTGGTGCCTCCTACGTGAGTCATTTCTGAAGGCCCAGCTGCTGCCACCTTCTCCCTTGGTCACCATTGCATGAGAAACCCTCCAAGTCACCTCTTTTCTTTGATTTCTTCATCTCTAAACTAGTAGACACTTGTGAGCAACCTTGTGAGGGTGAGAGGTAGCCATTTTCTGAGTGTTCAGCCACTGTTTGTTGGTGTTTGTGGGCTGACTTTATAGTTTGAGTTGTGGGATCCTTTGTGATGGCATTTTGAGCTTCAAGAAACCATCTTTGGTGCAAAGAACCAACCTTTGATCACCATTTTCGTGTACCTTGGAAGTCAGAATCTTGTGGCTGTATAGAGAGCTCCAAGAGCACCCCTCTTTTCTGTTTTGAATCTTGGGTATGTTCATCAACTTTGATCATGAGTTTTTCTTGTTTAAAGGTTGAGTCTTGGCTTGTTAATGAGTTGGTTAAGTAACTAGCATGTGTATTGACCTATATATGCCTAAAAATGAATCCTTAGACGTATTTAAATGCTAAAAGTTGAACCTTTGGATGATATCTTCGCGAAAATGCAGAACTACATTCTGTCGCGAAATATCCGGATATGATATCCGGATATTGATATCCGGATATGATATCCATATATGGGGTTGGAGATATCCGAATATGGATATCCGGATATGGTATCCGGATATGCCCCCGACAAATATCCGGATATTCTGGGAATTATATCCGGGAATTTCGAGACAGTGACGGTTCTGTTCAGACAGAACTGTATTATGGGTTTATGGACCCGTGATTGGTTAAGTTGAACCTCTGTAATGATTAACTAAGTCAGAATCAAAGTGATTAAGGGCTTATGGCTTTGTGAGAAGCCTAAAGACATGAAACGTAAAAGGAAAGCGTTGTCTTTATGTCATATGCTTGTAGATTATGATTGTTGGTATAAACAGACTGTGAGAGTGCTGTTTTTGGACCTTGGACTTGGTTGGACTCTTGGTTGGATAGTTAGCTTGCGAGGTAAGCTTTTGTGTCCTCAGTTTAGTCATTGTTGGTTCCACCATACCCCATGGGGGAATGGTTTATATGCATGATGTGTTTTCATTTATTGATTTTTAAATGCTGTTGAGTTGTTTGTGCAAGTGCCTTATGATATGCATGTGTTGTTCCACCTAGACAGTAAGTGTTAGCTATAAATTATGATTATTTTAATGGCTTTATTTTTACAATATTTGAGTTGAAGGCTGGATATTAGTGCATGGTAATGGGCCAAATGAGTGCCAATCAGCCCAAAGGTAAAAAAAAGAGAGAAAGAGATAAACTAATGATTTACTACTCTCTTTTATTATTTTTACTGCAGTTTGGAAGCAAGATCAACTCTTTGAAATCAAGATCAAATCTGAACCATTGGATGGACATAGAGATGGATGGATAGCAGTGCATTTGGAGGCAGCTTTATAATTTTTAGTTAAATAGGAGTCTGAGTCATTTTAGGGTCAGATACCGTACTTGTTAGTTTCAGTTTTACGTTTAGAATTTTGTATTTTCTCTCTTCGAATCTGAGTGTTAAGAAATTGTCTTGAAAGCTGGTGCTTGATCTTCAATTCTTGATCTCGAAGTGCATTGACAACGCAACTTCAAGGAAAGGAACCACGGATCTGCATACGAGCTACTGTTTTCACATTTCTGATCTTTTTCTTCCTAGCTCTAGTTTAGGAACTTTGACTCTTTAAGAACCGGTTTGTAACTTTACCTTGAGTTTTCTTTCATGAATGTTTGTGATGCATGTTTCTTTACTTTTAGATTTGTAATATTTTTGAATATGGATTTCTGATCTTTTCCTTTCTGGGATTCACGATGATTGGGTGATCTTTAATTTTCTGAATATTGTGATGGTTTGCTTTAGATTCATTTGATTAGCAAGATTTTGATTTTAAGTCCAAGAACACCATGGGAATGGATCTTGGAGTAATTTTTGCATAACTGTGATTGGGAAATCAAGTTATGTCCCTTGTTAATTGAACCCTTGAGGTTAGGGATAACCCAAGGAGGTCTTTGATACAATTTTTAAAGATTTAGAAGACTTTGGGAAAAGATCCTTCTAAAGATTAAAATCTGGAACTGGGAAGTTTTAGATAAAATAGCCATAGTAATTCGAATTCTGATACTAAAGTGTCGTAGCAGCTATAAAACGCAGGAATGCGAAATTTTTCCTTCATCCATGATTCAAAGAATTCCAGAACCTTATAATTGTTACATTTGTGAATAGATATCCCTCTGTAAAACTTTGTTTAATGCAAGTTTGATAAATATCTTGTTTCATTTAGAAGTTTCTTAGTTTTAAAAGATTGATTACTTAAATTCAAGAAATTAGAATTTGGAATTAAAAAGGAAAACTAAACAACCTGTTCCCTGAGAACGATAACTCTTTCTCTTGAGAAAAATACTACCCAACAGTAAGCCTGTGTATGTAGGAGACATACCATAAGGTGATTCTGTGGGTGGGTGCAAGTGGTGTCTTCCACTGATTGTAGATAATAGACGTATGTAAATCCTGCATTTCTCTGGCCAGTATAATAGTTGACACACGTGACATGATTATTGTAAGAACCTGCACCGTTAATTAAGGAAGTTAATTAGTTAATTATGTGAAATTAAGAAATAACTCTATAATTGAATTTAATAATTATTATGAGGCTATAATAATTATAGTAAGTGATTAAGAATGCTGAAAGTCGCTTTTCGGAAGAAAAGTGCAGATACCAGTTCTGCTAGTCGGTATAAATGCGTACCGATAAAGTATCTCGGAAAATTATGAAAAGTGAGTATATATTACTAGAATAATATATAAGACTTGTAAAACGAGTTTCAAGTTAAAATAATGAGAACTGGTGCCAGAACTAATATTGTCAGCGTGAAAAACGCGTACCAAAAAAGTGTTGCGAAAAAATAAAATAAAAATATGAAAATTCCTAGAAAAATATCTAGGTTAAGAATCTAAAATTTTGGAGCTAAGCGAAGAGCGAAACTAATTAAACTAATACTGCTAGTTTAACTTAAGAGACTATATAAATATAAAAGGAATCAAAACCCTAGCTTTTATTTTTAAAACTCAGCGGCTGAGTGTGGCCCTTTGGAGTTTTTTGGGGTCTTAGCTTTCTCTCTAGGAAAGCCTCTAAAGTTTCCATCTTTTCTTCCTCTCTTCCATTGAAACACCACCCATCCATTAAAGCTTTAGTTGTGTTGAAGGAGAACCCATTTTTGAAGATTTGGGTGCTTTCTAAACCTCTCAAGCTTTTATTTTTCTGTTCTAAAAGGAACCAAGGTAAACTTAACTATTCCCTTTGTAAATTACTGTTATATATTACTGTTGAAATATCATTTGTGAAATCACTGTGCGCTATTTTTCTCCTGTAGATCGCCATATTATTTTTGTCACTTTGTATCACTTGCTTTGTCAACTTACACGGCCACTGTGTTTTTAAATTGAAAAGTTTGAAACTTTATGTAGGAAATCGGTCACTGTTAGTGAAGATGGATAAGATTCATGTTCAAGTTGCTTTTATATATATATATATATATATATATATATATATATATATATATAAAAGTTTGTTTACTTTCGTACAGGGAGCCGTATATATATATAAGTTTGTTTATATATAAGTTTATATATAAGTTTGTTTACTAGTACAGGGAGCCGTGTAAGCTTTCGTTTCGTTTATATATAATATATATATATATATATATATATATATGTCGATGCTTTTTCCCAGGGAGACAATATATATATAAAATGTTGCTTAGCCTTTAGCCAGGGAGTCAGAGCGTGCTTTTTGAAATTGTGGTCTTGGAAAAGATTATATATATATATATATATATATTTATAAGATAATAATCATCTTAAATTAAATAAGTTAAATGGTATGTCTTAAAAAGAAAATAATACCTGATTGCCTTGGAATTTTAGAATATGTATATTGATACTATGATGGTCGTTGAACCAGATCTGTGAGTGCATTGGATTCTATTTGTCGTGTGGACCCTTGTGATACCGAGTTCGAGTCAGAGGGGCATACGGGTACAGGTAAGCTTTCGTGTCCTCGGTTTAGCCATGTTGTGGTTCAACCATGTCCCATGGGGGTATGGTTATATGCATGTTGTGTTACATGCTTTTGATGTTTTGGAAATGTTGTTGAGTTGTTATATGCTAGTGCCTTTATGATATGCATGTGGTGTTCCACCTATACGGTAAGCCTGAGTATGTAGTACATACAATACGGTGAGCTGTGGGTGATGTGCAAGCGGTGTTCCTTGTACTACATGTAGGTGATAGACGTATTCCTGCATTTCTCTGGCTAGTAGAATAGTCAAACACACATGGCATGAATATTTGTTGCACTGCATAGTTTTGGAACTTATATTGAATTACTGCTTTTATAACTTATATTGCACATGTAATTGAGCTTGGGGTGGAAGATCCTTGAGGACCCCTTGTCTTACTGAGATTTCTGTTTAGAGATCTCACCCCACGTTTGGGGAATGCTTATTTCAGGATCAGGTAATGTGGGGGTTGAGGCCCCAGGCAGCAGGAGGCCGGAGCTGAGTTAGATACTGATGATATTATATGCTGACATGTTGGATGTTAGATATGCTTGCTGCTTTTATGCTTTTAGCTTCATGTTATGATTTTGGATTATCTTGTTGAGACTCTGTTGTTTATGCTGTTGATTTGGTGAGCATGGGGATTGTCCATGCCACGTAGACTTGTTATGTCTTGTTTTAATTAGAGTTGTTTTAATGTATCAGGATATTGTCCGGATTACGTGATGTAATGTCGTGACTTAGATACTCACTTTATATTTTATATTGAGGTATTTCAGTTAGTTGTCTTGCAATTTACATACAGGCATTGTTTTTATGAAATTGATTAAGTAATCAACTTGGCTAAGTATAATGACGTCATAATTGGAAAAGAAAAAGATATTCCGCATTTTTAATTAAGCGCAGCTTAATACGATAGTATGATAACATTACCGGGTATACACGGGGTGTTACAATTATTTTGCTGCATTGCACTGATTTTGTAACTTATATTGTTTTACTGCTTTTAGAACTTATATTGCACATGTAAGTGAGCTTGGGGTGGAGAAATCCTTGAGGACCCGTTGTCTTACTGAGATTTCTGTTTAGAGATCTCACCCCACGTTTGGGGCACATTTTCAGGTTCAGGTAACTCGGGGGTTGATACCTTGGGCGACAGGAGGCCAGAGCTGAGTTGAGATATATGCTGTTTATGATGATATGTTTGGACGCTGACATATTCGTTATTTATTATTATGTTGTTTGGGTTGAGACTCTATTGGGCTTTGTTGCCTTATTTGGTGAGCATGGGGGTTGTCCATGCCACATTGACTTTACTTTGTTGATTTAGATTCGCATTGTATAATGTATCAGGATTATGGTCCGGACTACATGTTGTAGTTCCGTGATTTAGATACCCACTTATTTATATATAAGGTTATTCAGTGTACTTAGCTTTTATTGCAATTTACATACAGACAATGTTTTATGAAAAAGGATTAAATAATCAACTTGGTTATTGTTAATGACGTCATAATTGAAAGTAAAAAAGTTATTCCGCATTTTTATTAAGCAACGCTTAATACGATGAAATGATAATAAATCGGGTATACACGAAGCATCAAATAAAAAGTCATTTCACGCATCTTTGATTATCAGTTACTCAGTTAGTAATCTCCACATGCAGTTCCTATTATGCATAAACAGGGGAGAGGTTGGCAGATAGTAAGCAAAGGAAATCTCTTGATTAAGCTTATTGACAAATATCACGTATAAGATGAGTAAAAATTGCACTGGAAAGATAACTCACATTTTGCTCAAATTGTGCACTTAACTGAATTTTGCTCAGGAAAAAATTAAAAAATTACCACCTTATCATGTTGAAATTGAACAATCGTATATCAATTCTATCACATTTTGAACAAAATTCAACAAACAAAGAACTAGTAAGAAACAATGATGGTTTGACTATCCATTTTTATTCAAAAATTTGAAGAGTCAAGAAACCATAATGGACACATGGTTCAATGAAAAGAGTAAAAGAACACACACAAAAAAAGGTTACCGTTAGGAAATGGAAAACACCATATGAACACAAGAGCCTTTCCAGTTTAGAAAGAAATCAAAACTATTGTAATTTACAACCATTGTACACAATTAGGGAGCAGCCAAGGACTCAATCGAAACGCATTTTCAGCAAATGATCATACACATAGTGAATTAAAAACATATCCTAAAAACACCAATTGAGTTATCATTTGTATCTTCACAAGACAAGTTTAAAAATAGATATCAGGAAAGCAAGAAAGGATACCTCTTTTTTCCATAACGGGAGAAACTCTACCAGGAAGTGATGAAGCAGACTGGACTTTCAACACGGACCGACCAAAAAATTGAAACATGAATGCAGAATAGGATTCAGACTTCACTTTTAACTTCAACCCGTAGATTCACACAAACAAACTCAAATTGCAAACACGTCGAACAAAGTGGGGGAGGGAATCTCAGCCTCTGCCTCGTCCATTTTCATATGTTTACTACAAGAACAAGCAAAGCACAACAGAGAAAGAGAGGGAGGGAGGGAGGTTGCGGAAGCGAAAGAAAATAATAATAAAAACATTGGTAATACTACCTCCTTGGAAGAAGAATAGGAGCTTAGAATAAGAAGTTACCTGGCTCACTAAGCAAACGTTGTGTCTGCTGTTGAATTGGGGAGGGGATCTCAACAATACCCGTGTTTTGTAAGAGGGAGACAACAAGCAAATGCTGCTTCGACCAAACAAATCGATCAGAGAAACTGAAATGGGGATCTCAACAACAAAATGGAAATGAACGGTTTTGTGGAAAGTGAAAGAGGGAGACTCACCGGGAGCGACAGACGGTGACGGTGAAGACCACCATCTACGGCGATGATGATCTGTGGAATCCACCGCCACCCATCGTGTATTTTTGTATTTTTTGTTGTTGAAAGGGAAATAGAGATTTCAATGCCTTTTGTGTTTTTTTAGGGATATGATCTTTTTTTTTTTAATTTGACCCGAACCGATTCATAAGACATGGCGGGTCAACGGAACCTGGTCAAAATTGTTCCAAAGTGTGACCCAAACCAGTTACCAGACCGGTTCACCAGGACCCGGGTCGATCATACCAGGTCAGGCCGGGTTTAACAACAGTTATCAGGTGTGATAATTGACGGCTTGTGAGAGATGTCTCGCCATGTTTGACCTCAAATCACGTATAAATCAGCTGGTGCACCTATAGTATTTTAGTGGACACTGGGCTTTTAGCCATACGGAGTAGAGAATATTATTTTGTTGCATTTGATGTATTCCCTTGCGGTTATTGTCAGCATATATGAGTTCTGATTCCTATAGGTATCTATGGCAGAATTGATTCCATTTCAAGTGAATGATGAATGGTGGCTTAGAGTAGGATACTTTTCCTTAAGCTTTTTGAGATTCAATCTCACCCTAAGGCTAGTTTACTTTTTTTGTGTGTTTGGATTTATGTAAGGTGATGTTATATGTAATTGCCGACTTAGATTTGATGTACCTCAAGGCTATTTTGTTTGGAATTCTTAACTTTGTATGTTGAAGACTGATAAGTTTATGCAATATGACTTAGAACACATGGTTATTAATATAAAAATGTGAGAAAAAAGAATACTTTTTGGTTAATATTAAATCCCAATTACAATGAGTTGCAAGTATGTGGAATAAAAAATGATGGGTTATTTTTTATGTTTCAGGTCCAAAAAGGAGTGAAAGAAATGGATTACTAAACCAGAAGAAAAAAATTAAAAAGTGAAAAGCTGTGGAGTTCAAAAAGAGACAAGCCCAATTGAAAAAGAGAAAGGCCCAATTCAACAACAGAAAGAAAAGAAGGGAGAAAGAAAAGGTTGCAACCCAACTTAAGTCAGTAGATGAGTCCCCATTTTCCACCCACATGAACCCTAACCCTCACCGCTCAAGCCACTCCTCTCGCTCCAGCCACAACTCCACACAAAACCATGAACCCCTTCTGCTGAACCAGCCACAACAAACCACCAAGCCACTCCAATCGACCTGATTCTTGTCGACCATCTAACCACAAAAGCCCTTTCTTTGTAGCAACTCATTTGACCATGTTCTAGAAGCCTGACCCTAATCAAATAGTAACGTGGAGGTTGTTACAAGCATGTAGAAGGATTCCTTTTGGTGGAGCATTTGAGGAGAGCGTGAAGTACAAATTGTTGGTGTGACGTGCAAGCAAGGAGCGCCTGGGATCTCTGCTGGTGGAAAGGGCTTGAAGTCCATGCATGCGAAGGCTCGAGTATAAAGGACGAGGGAATTTTGTAGAGAGGCTCTCTCTTTTCTATAATTTTCTCTCTCTCTCCCTCTCTCTCTCTCTCTCTCGGACCTTCTTCTGCATTTTTTTTTTTATTTTTTTTTGGCATTCTGGGATAATGTAATTTTTTGATTGTGTTATTTTGGGATTTTGAGCACAGTGATGAAGCTATCTCTGTGAATAGCATTCGTACTGTAGCGTTAGCTTTCTGCAATTTTATTTTAATTGTAGTTTTCTTTTATTTCTATTAATTAACTCAATCCTTATGGATTTGAGCTAAACTCTCTAAGGGTTGGGTGTTTGAGACCCCAACTACAGTGATTGATGTTAGTCACGTTTTTGGTTATTAATGTTTACCTTCCGTAGTACAACTCTGTATATAAATTTGAATGCATTTTCTATTTCGGCCAAATGGATTTTGTGTGTGTTAGGAGAAGTGTATTGGGAAATACTCTTCTCTGAAAACTGAGTTGTACTCATGGACTCAAATAAGGGATTATTTGAGGGAGTGTCAGGAGTGAATTTTACTCTTCTATGTGGTAATAAGGACCTGAACTTCAAGATCTGAATTCCACCAGCTTAGGGATAAGTTGTGTACGAACAACGGGAAATTTTTTTTTAAGGGATTAAAAATCTACTTTAGTCTGCCAACGGAAAATTAATTGTTAAAGAATTTTTCTTAAGTAACTTGCATCAAGAGCTGTGGGGAAGGAATCAAAACCCAACCCAATTTTTTCAATTAAAACTCTTAAACTTTTTGCTTTAAATTCTGATTTCTTTTTACTCAGTTAAATTCTTCATAATTTTGTGAAAAATATCATCAAACAGAAAATGCCAAAAATAATTTTCTCAACTTATTTTATTCCTTTTTAATTCGGGTAGTGAACAAGTTTTTGGCATCACTTTTTAATTTGAAACCTTCCGGTGAATAGTAACTTCTGATTTCTTATCTTCAGTAACCAATTTAATTTTAATTTCTTTTTAGAATTTAGTTTAGCAATTGCAATTTTTCTTTTGTACTTTTTCACCAAAAAGATCCTTGTGAAAACGATTTTGAGATTTTAAATACATCCTATATCATTTGTGGCTGCGTATACTTACGCATCTCTTGCATACTCTTTAGCAAGGCCAACAAATACCACCTTGTAAGACCTAGTATGTCATGAGGGATGTATGTACTAAGTTGGTATTATTGTTTGCTTGTTATCCTATGGTCTGTGTACGTCGAAAATCTTTTTCTTTTGGAAACCGTACTGTGTAATCACCATTGTGACGCAAGACGTTTCCGATATTTTAAAAAAAAAATTATATTGTAATAAAACACTAATATACTTTAATTTATATCTTTACATGCTATCTCGGTAATGTCATAAGATTTTACTCTTAAGATGCATTATGTGCTTCACGTATCTATTTTTTATGCTTCTCTTTGGACCGAAAAAGTGTGAAATTTATTAGGAAATGTTGTTTGATTTTAATTCATCAAGGATGTTATTGTTGATGCCCCTTCTATACTTTGATATGATTTTAGGCAAAAAGAAAATTAATTCTTTGTAAAAAATTTCATGAGATGATTACTATGAAAGTGGAATTGCTTTAATATATTTTACGTGAGTTTCTTTAAAATTGGATGAACGTTTCTGGTTATTGCATACATTTACCTGGCTAAAAAGGTCACTGCATGTTACGGTTATAAGCTGGTTTGAGATAAAGTTATTAGAGATACATTCATCAAGAGATCTATTTGCCCAATAGGAATATATTTCTAGATTTAGTGTGGTTATTGAATAACTCGTCTTTTGAGATTTACGGGTAAGGTCATTAGAGACATGTTGGTTTATGAAATCTACCTGTCTAGAAGGAATCTATTTTCAAATCCAGTACAAAACACATATACTCTAATTTTGCCATCCCATACTAATGTAAAATAAAGTAGATTATGAAGATGTAATGTGTACGAAACATTATTCCACTCTTCTAGGTTTCTCAACATATCCGAGTATGATTTTTTATTTTCTATTGAGAATTTGCTGCGCAGAAGAAAAGAAGAACTATCTATTCATCGTTTCTTAATCAAACCCCATTACTCCCCATAGACACTTCCCCAAAAAAAATTCATTAGGAAACCCATAGGTTCAAGGATCTTAATGGCATCATGTGACTTTGGCAATATATCATTTTCGCCAAGTTCAAGGGCATCGGCAGAAGACAAAATGAAACAATAATCACCATCACTGTATAGAAAAATTTAAAATTACATACTTTTTTTGAGGAAACCCTTGAGGCAAACCATTAGACTAAGGTCATAAGTTCGAGTTGTACATTCAGCCTCTTGCAGATACTTGGTAAAAATACCTACTATTGGCTTAGCAAGACATAAAATATTTCAAAATCTATCAAGAATCCAAGGTTCGATTCAAAACAGATATCTGACCCGAATCTCCATTTAACAAAAAAACTTCCAGAGGGACATACGGAGAAGACATTGATGCACCAAACCTATAGGTGGGTTGCAACATTTTGCTACCTTTTGCACATGGAATCGTTCTAAGACGTGGTCCAGTTCTCATTTGCCAGATCTGCAGGACATTATCAATCAAGGAAATCAAATTAAGAATCTCTTCAAGTAATAAAGTCAAAGCCAATACCCCAATAAAGTTAAAGTCCAAGAGTGTCAATGCTATAATAAAAATAAACATGAGAAGAAACTGTCACATCCAAAAACCACTCCTCATTAAATCCCGAATAGTGAGGGTACAGATGAGGACAATACTTGTATTTACCCTTGCATATTTGCAGAGAGGCGGATTCTCAGCACATCTTTGTAGTAATTATACTTTTTAATTGCACAAATCCAGTGGAGGCTTTCAATAGTTTTGTAGAAAAGGTGGAACTGGAAACCTACAGTTCACTCATAGTGTAAGGTAAAAGACTTGCCTCAATTATTCCTTTTCTAGGCGCATGAATAGCCAAACACAGGCAGTAATCACTCTTCATTGGTTCATAATGAGTAGAGCTTGATGATGCAATATCTTTATTCACCAACATCTCCATGAATAGACAGCTGGCATCCCTATATCCCTGCAAAAATACTAAATTCCATATTAGGGAAATATAGTTACTTTATTATGGTTTATTTGAAGAGGGATGTTCAGGGTCAAAAAGTTCAAGAGGAAACCTTCCATAAGCGCACCACCACGAGTGCTTGAGTATCAAGTAGCAATATGCGACCAAGTGAATCTGTTATAGCAGCCAATGTACCACTCGGTGATAAGGTAAGCTTCTCACCTTTCCTAGGGTGATCTTTTAAACATGTCAGAGGTGAAGCTGCATTGAACCATGAAGGTAACAGTCAGATAATAGGATCTGAATTTAGAAACGGTGAAGCAATAATGGAGGACTGCATTTTATTTTATCAAATGATAGAGTCCAGTTGGTCCAGCTAGATCTTTTCTTCTAATAGAATGTCTGATGGTTTTTAGTGAAGTATTTATTTTTATTTTTTTTAAAGACATTCATAAAGAGCTTCTTAGTATCACATTACATGAATCCCACCAAAGTGTTGAATATGTCAAAAAAAGAAAAGGGAGAGGTGCTGTAAAATTCTGTGGAAGCACATACACACACAGAGAGAAAAAAAAATACAAAAAAACCATTTAAAAGAGAAAACATGAAAAAAATGAAAGATAAGAGGCTGGTAAACAATATGGGAAATGGAGGCAAGACAATTTGAATCCATACAAGAAGCATTCCTCTTCATGTTAAGCTAGTAAATGTAGTCTATCCACTTATGAGATCTTCAGCAGAGGAATCCACTTGAGAAAGTTTATCCTTTTTCTTTTGTTTCAAGCTTACTCACAATGTGACTTTTGTAAAGTTTCAGCTTCCTTGCTTTACTTCTAACTACAGTTATATTAAGAGGAGGGAGCCTTGGCATAACGGTTGGTGTTGTCACCACATTATCCTTTTTCTTTTGTTTCAAGCTTACTCACAATGTGACTTTTGTAAAGTTTCAGCTTCCTTGCTTTACTTCTAACTACAGTTATATTAAGAGGAGGGAGCCTTGGCATAATGGTTGGTGTTGTCGCCACGTGACCCGGATGTCACAAGTTCAAATCATGTAATCACAAAGCAAGAGCTTTATAGCACCAGGTTGCCCTTTATAATGGTAATATTCAGATATCATAGCACCACCTTTAAAATTGTCTAAAACACTCCTACTTAGCAGGATACAATCCAATTTTTTCTTTCTTTTACTTGGCTTGACCTTCATCCCTATTATATGCACAATTATTTCAGGTGCAGTGTGCTTATAATCACAAAAAGCAACCACTATGATGTTTTTTACTCCTACCTCGAGCAAATGGCTGAGGCTTCTCATCTGATTTCTTTGGAGATTTATTTAGAGATGTCTTTTCACTCCGCCAAATCAATTTAGAAAAAGAAGCTATTGTGGAAAATGTTGCAGGTACAACTTTAGACAAGATAGCTCCCACTAAAGATCTGCCTTTGTCTTCAGAAAGTCTTCCAAAAGGATCAAATAAAACTCAGTCAATATAATACTACGACAAGAAAAATACTTCACAGAGCACATATCCATAAAGAAGTAGCATGAGTTAATCCAAATAGTCCACCAAGTACCTGTATGCTGAAATCACAGCATCCTCTCCAACAGCCACTGCACAATAATAACGTTGACTTGACTGCCCAACAATAAAAGCAGCTGAATTCAAATACCAGAAATAACTTCAGAAAGCTTCCATTATCTAGGGTTCAAACAACCACAATCATTATCACAAACAAAACTCATGGCAGGACACAGTTAAACTGAGAAAAACAAGATATACAATAAAATAAAATCAACGACAATGACAACCACAAACTTAGTATCACTTCGTTCAGACTTCAGATCATACGTGACTTCCCTAGTTAATAGGAATTTAATAACCACTCAGTGAATTTTTGCAGGAAGGCAAAAGAAATTTTTAAAAGCCTACAAACACCTGGACGGGTAAATAATTAAATCAAAGAAACTGAAAAATGTGACTTTACAAATCTTATATGTTGAGAAGAGATATAAAAAGATTTGACGATAGTTTAGATTTGACGATAGTTTTCCTCCAATCACTTTTTTTGTTTTCTGTTGTTTGGATTTCATGAAACGAAATTCAAACAAATGTCATTAGCATGGCAGACATTACACAATTATTTAAAAGATTTTACCTGGTGTTCCATAAGGGGTGGGAGCATTATGCCAGTGATTGCTGCATCAGCACAAGTACCATATTTGCCAATATTCCACAACTGATAAGGTAATTTTGCATAAGAATTTCCAAAATCCTCTGAATCTTGACTCTTTGGCTTTTGATTCCAAAATTGAGCATGCACTTCTTCAAACCATTTCTGCAGCATATTCTACATTTCGACATTGCAAAGCCTATTATTAGACTCATAAGTCATCATCAGCTACCAAAATCCAATATTCAGACTGCAACTTTCAGATCTACATTCATGCAACATACTACTTTACTGTTAATAAAATAAAGTATTCCAATACCCAAAAAGAAAAAGAAAAAAAAAGTTAAATAAGTTTTACATTTTCACCCTAGGACTATATTTCAGCGAAGTTCTAATTATCTGAATACAATAACAAATGTTTACCTGAATATCAGAGCCATCAAAACGGGCAATTACACCTGGCATAACGAGACAAAACTCTTCTGAGGAAGTATCTTGAATCAAATCTTTCTTTGTTCCACGAACTCTTAATTTTAAAACTCGTCCAGGATAAATCATCTATGGGGAAGCAAATTGATATAAGACCTATGCTTAACATAATGCAAAAAAAAGAACAAATATGTATGCAGATATTAATATAGAATTTCATTCTTAATCTGATTGTGATTTGTAAACCTTAAACACTAGCACCCAAAATTTCATATAAAAAGAAACCATTTTTTTTTGGCCCTGAAGACAGTTGATTCGCGAAACTCTTTAGATTTCAAACGGTAAATGTCTTTTACTCAGACAAGGAGGGGAATGAGTGAAGGCAGATTTGATCCCAAGTCCTAGCATTCAACTGCAAAGGGCTGACCATCATTTGTTTTAAAATTTTATTAGAAAGAACCATAAAGCAAATTCAAATAAATTGTAGGGAGAATTACAATTGACAACCTGAAAGTTAGATTTATTATATTCAAGGATTACTAACCAAACTCTAACTAGAGTTTAGTCGTCAGAACAAATCATTTGGCCATCAATTTTTTTTTTAAAAAAGAAAAAAGAAAAAGGTTCGGCTATTGTCTTTTGGTCTAACTAAATTGTATATGTTTTCCAAGTCTTAAAAGGGAATTCTCCCTAAATCTTAACACAACAAGGCTCTTAATTATAGTGATTAGCTTCTACATTCATTCTAAGGAAGCCAAAGCACTAATCCAGAGTTGCAAAAATCTCGCAATCTATTGAAGTATACAGCACAATCAGGTAACATATAAACAATTTCAGAAAGACAAACCCCATTACCCAGAACACCCTATACCATTTCCAGCTTTATTTTCTAGTTCAGGTAAAAAATTTAAAAACATATATATAAATATAAATATAAAGCACAATGATTCAACTGCACACACAGATAAAACGATTCATTTCATTGCCAACGATATATAACAACATTCAAATACGATTTCTCAAGATCATGCCCACTACGCTTTTCCAACACAAAAGTAACAACTGGAAGCACCAAGTGATCAAATTTTCCACCTTTCTAATTCCCAATGCACAAATCTCAAAAGGGTAATCAAAGAAATGAACGAACGAAACGCATTACCTGCCTATGAATCAGTTCACCGCGCAAGGAGTAAAGAAGCAAGTACCCGCAGGAGGTACCGGCCACGATCACGCGAACATCGTCGAAGACCAACCATTCAACGGCGGAGATGCACTCGGCCTCGATGGGGGACAAATCGGGTCGGATCTTGACCCGGGATCCGTCGGAATCGGACCAGGAGAGGACGAGGATGGTGGAGCGGTTAGCGAGGACAAGAGAGTGGGTGTCGATGGCGCAGAGGAGGTTCGGGCTGTCGACGAGCCAACCCGGTTTACCAGCTCCGAGTTCGCCGAGTTCGTCGCAAGCTATGCATCCCAACTCGGTCTTGTACGATCGTCTCGCCATTGCTTCTGCAATGACTGGTTCTTTCAGCAATTCAATTCGCTCGTTGGGGCAACAAAAATGAATCGAAACTGTCCTTTGCTTGTGGGGAATGGCACGGTGTCCAGTTATTTCAGCTAAATAATAATAATAATAATAATAATAAAAATAAAGGTTATACTTAAGCTGCGCATGACAACCATTCTAATTCCTGACACTGTTTCTGAAAAGAAATGATTCTTTTCTAATTTTGTGCCTTGGAACAATTCTGAGAATCAGAATTACGTTTGTTAACATATTTTATTTTTATTCCGAGAATCAGAATTACGTTTGATAACACAATAAAAATCTATTTCTTTACTTTTGTTTATAGATTTCATCACCTGTATAAAATAGTAAATGACAATAGATTGTAACCGAAATGCCAAATTTTATATTTAACAAAATTATCTAAAAATTTATAATATTTATTATATAGTTTTTTTTTACGACAAATGCTAATATATAGTTTTAACTATTATTTTTCAATCATCTTCACAATTCATATTTTTTTGTTTCTTATTCCCTTGACCATTTTATTTTTTAATATCATATTATTACCTTAATATTAATGATACAAATGAATGAATAAATACATATACATAAGTCACATCACTCAACTAAATTTTCATGACATCATACTTAAAGCAAAAAATAATTGATGTTGCATTGAACAAAAAAAATGACAAGTCTCCAATGTATTTGGAATATGTCTCTTGATTCATCAACATAATATTGGGGGCAATTGATTATCTATAGCTAATTGGTTTGCAATATTTTTCTTAATAATGTCTATTTGGGTCACTTGATTTGAGGAGCCTTCATCATCTATAGTTGCAGATGTATGGGTTGATGTTGCAATATTGGGATTTGCATAACGTGCTAGATTTTTGTCTGCTATCTGATGATCCCTGATAAAGTTATGTACTGCACAACATGCAATCACAATGAGGAACAAGTAAGATAATCTTCATATAACTTTTCTATGTCAATATGATGTGTTGTGTATTTAAGGGCATAAAGCACTGTATATTCTATGTAGTGTTGTTTATATTACCATATATAGGGTGCATTATATTAAATAGCACAACTGGAAGGTTGTGTATGTATTATATTAAATAGCACTGTATTTATTTTTATTTTATTTTTTGGTACATTGCCAGGAGGTATCCCCATTCAACCTTCTCCAGGCACCATGCCCTCGGGGTACGGCCCGTTTGGGCTAGCCCCTCATTGTAACAGTGGGTGCACTAAGCTTCGCAACCGGAGAAAGGACGAGACTAATCCCCCAACCGAAGATTTTTTGGCTTATCCTCTGGCCCCCAAAGATTTTCCAAGAAACTGCTTGAGGCAGGGTTTGATCCCTGCACCAAGCAATCCCTTGGGAGCTCAGCTGCCAACTGAGCTACCCTTGGGGGTTAGCACTGTATATTTTTTCCTTGACTACAATGAGATCAACTGCTTTGCCTTCTTGGGTAATCTTTTAAAGCATCATGCTTTGTTTGGACGGAAATCTTTTATTAAACTTGTTAAGAGATAGAAATCCATCCTTGAGACTCATCCCAACAACTGAAACTTTTAGGAGAGAATTGGTCCTTTAAAAACTTATTTTCTGTGTAGCTGTATCACAGGGTAGGCAACCAATTTTATAATTGAATTTTGAAATGAAGTTTAGTTTTTCCCTTTTCTTTCTTCCAGTTTCAGGAGATTGGACTTTTAAAATAAGGGTTAAATTATTCTTTTAGGCCCCTATTGTTTCACTGAATTTGCAAGTAAGTCCTTATAGTTTTAAAAGTTTTAACAGGTCACTTTACATCCAAATTTTTTTCGAGTAGTTGTTTGTTTTGTGAATATTGTTACTAAGCTTGAGGTATATATTTATTAGGAACAGTTGTGTTTGTTTGTCTTGGTCCACCTTTCAACCATGTTTGAGGAACACACAGAAACATGCACTGATATAACTAGAAAATAAAGCCACAAAATACAAGCTCATGAAATTCCAATCCCTAGCAATGCTTCAGGTCTGACATGAACCACATAATAAGGAACACAAAAGATCCCATCTTCAAATACAAAAAATATATTAAAAAATCACATTTTTATTTATATGAAAATAATTTACCATAAAAAAAGAAGACCCATTACAGAGTAGGTTACATATAACAAATTCCAGGTTCCCAATACTCAAAATAGTTGACACACAACACAAAAGAGGAATAAAATTGAAAATCAACCATGCTAAAGGAAAATAAATAAATAAATAAAGCCATTGAAGAATAGAATAGAAGCAAGAAAGTAATAAATCATTCAAGCAAAGGAGAAAACCGGAACATACCCAGATTCGAGAAAATGCTCAGAGGCCAACGTTAGGGAAAAGTAGAAGCAGAGAAAAGAAAAAGGTTTTGCACAAAACCTTCGAATCAAATTTTGATGATTTTGATTTTGATCTCAGAAATATAACCCTATGCTTTTTATGGTTTTTTTTCATAATAAATAAATTATTTTTATGATTGTCTCGGCAAAGCAATACCTAAAACTGAAACTGAGAGGAGAGCTCACAGATACCTAAAACTGAAACTGAGAGAGAGAGGGGATAAAAGAATGAAGTACCTGGATGGTGGCCGAGACAATCGCTGTCGTTGATTTTGGAAGAGAAGAACAAGCGACAGAGATTGAAGGGAAGGAGACGAAGTCGTGAACGCAAGAGATTGAAGGGAGGGGTTATTGTCGTCTGATATGGTCGAAGTCGTGAGAGTCCAAAGAGAAAACTGATTCTCTTTTTTGGCCCAGAATGAGAAAAGCAGAAATTATTTGATTCTTTTTTTTGTTTTTGGGCACAAAAAATAATCCGGTTCATCCGAGGAACAAAAAAATAAACCGGTTTTACCAAACAAGTTTCTCATCCATTTTTATTCCTGAGAACAGAAATTAAAAAAAAAAAACTCATTCCGGGAAGGTTGTCATGCACACCCTTACCACCTATTTTTTTGTTTATAACATTTTATAATCATATCTTAACCATTAATTTTTGTCAATCAATGGTTATTGTTTTCGCAAAAAACTCATTGATTAATTCGCAATAAATGATAACTTTGATTGACGAAAACCGTTAAGATATAATTGTAAAAGGTTGTAAACAAAAAATAGGTCGTACGTATAACATTTCTCATAATAATAATAATAACACAAAAATATTTCTGCAATTAATGCAGATAAGTTATCTGCATTTACTTCCAAAACGACGTCGTTTTGGTATTGAAAAATTAAAAAATTATAATTATAAAGACTATAATAACCCTGAAATAAATTAAAATTACAAAAATACCATGATTTCTACCCAAAACGATGTCGTATTGGGCTTACTGCAGATAACTTATATGTAGTAACTGCAGAAAAAGCGAACCCTAATAAATAATATATGAAAGGGGATGAATCCACTTACCACAAAAAAAATTTATCACTCTTATAATCAACTTAATCACTGTTGATTTTCGTCAATCTAACAGTTATAATTTATTGAAAATTAATAATTAATTAATAAGTGCGACCCAATAAATACTATAAATTTCCAATAAGTTATAATCTTTAGATTGACGAAAATCAACGGTGATTAAATTGGTTGTAAGAGTGATAAATTTTTTTGGTAGTAAGTATATTCCTCCCCTATATTAAATAGGAGGTAATATTTATAAACTTTTGGTTTATAAACTCTTACAAATTGCACTTATAATTTACACTATTGTTTTACCTCAGGCAGAGATGTCTAATCGTAGGTTAGATGGTTGATATTGGATCTAGTGCTTTCTCTCTAGATACCTATGAATTAGGTACCTTGGGGACAGCGGATCACTACACACTTGTACGACGGCCTTAGCCAGAGGGGGTGTGTGCGCACTATGTGGTTGCATAAAATAGGGTTAGAGAGAGATCACTCATACATTTGGTCTTTAGCTCCCATTTATAGTGCTTACCTTTGGGCTTGTATTATTTGGGCTTGTATTATTTGGGCTTTCTATGGATGTGGGCCTCACTCAGGTCCATAACAGTTGCCCCCTAGCCCGGTAGACTGAGTATTCAGGATGGCGGGATGTCCGAGTTATGTCCTTTGACGTCTACGTTTCACCCCGGATGCTGGCCCATCCCGGCCTTGTCACTTTCTGCTTTGATTCAAACTTCGACTTCTCAGCTTGACTGGAGGAGATAGACGAGGTTCTTCTGGCTGCCCCGGATATAACTCTATCCAAGATGCCTTACCTGAGGTGTGGTACGATGTTCTCTTTCAAGAAATGGTTCCTCTTTCCTTAGAAACGATTCTCCTTCCACATAATGATTACCTTCCACGTGGCCCTCTTCAACGAATGCGACGTATGGCACTACTCCTCCCACGCCATTTTGCATTAACTTCCACTGCAAAAACGTCCCCCAACTGTCTTGTCTACCATCAAATTACTTTCATACCCTTGCCCTTTGGCTTCGCGGGTTTTAATCTTTTCGACTTCAGTTTCTCCACCAGCTTAACCATTTTAACTCTTCATTCTTTCATCTTTGCATTACTCCTACAAAAACTCCTTTTCGCTCACCATCTTCACACGTTCTTCCGGCTTCATTTTCTCAAGTGTGCTTACTGGCATTCTCTTCATCATTTCGCCTGCTTCTTTTCCTGCAATGTTATTTCTTGCTTTGATATTTTCTCTGTACACTATTGAATTCAATCACGTGTGCTACCTTGTGACGATAAATTTGATTCTATCACTCTTGCACCTCTAGTGTGCCACATTGTTCTTGTCTGTCTGATTACACTTTGCTTATTTACACTGTATTGCTTACATGAAACCTCTTTGCTGTTTGTTTATCTTCCAACATGTCTTAGTTTGAAAATTTATCCTGGTATGGGTGAGAGAACTTTACCATTCGAGGGAGGCCCACCTACCGTCGCATCTTTGGTCGTAGTGATGAAATTGATGCCGAGGAGGAAGAGAATCATGCAGAAGAATAAGAAAGGTTTATCCAGAGTCTGCCTCCTGGT